TGCTGCAACTGACCGTACCAAAAATTATTTTTGTTTTGAAAAAAATTTACTCTGAAAAAATTATATTTTTGAGAAACTATAAATTTTTGACAAAAATTTACTTTTTTTTGAAAAAAAGACTTTTTTAAGAAAAATTTATTTTAAAATATTTTGGAAATTCTGAACTTTTTTCAAAGCAATCGTACTACTTGAACTGCATAGAGACTAAATATGAAAGCGCGTAAGCGCCGCGTCGCCGTCTATCGAATAAACATTGATACGGAACCCATAGGAATGTAAACAAAATTTATACTTATTATTAAAATCTCTATAAAATACCTGATAATTTGATGTGCATATGTCTAATCATTCATTTTTGACCGCCAGATGGCATTTTTTTTTTCACTAGATCTCCGAAATCGTTAGACCTGCCTTCATGAAAATTTGATGAGTTCATCATCTTGTTAATACAAGTAAAATGTTTTTTGAATTATTCGAATCGGACTCTCCGTTCTCTTAAAAACTGTATTATCGTTTTTGGAACTTTTTGCCCCATATCTTCGGAACAGCTAGACCTGCCTTCGACAAAAACAAATCAGTCTCCTTATTAATACATATCGAATGTTTTTTGAATTATTCAAATCGCTACATCAGTGTTCCCGAAATCGTCGACGAAAATTTGTATCCGAACACACACACACGCACACACAAACATCCATTTTTTTCTAAGGTATGCCAAAATATTCAGAAACCTATGAAACGTAAAGATACATAAAAATTTTCATTTTCGATTTTTTTGCGATTACTACAACATGCCCTACGGGAAGTTAATTATATGGAAATGAAAAAAAAGTTTATCTACGTATCATGTCAAAACTAAATCTTGAAATAACGATAAATCCATTATATACCTGCAACAACATTATATCCATCTACTCCTGAGGTTTATTTCTCGAATTTTTGCTTGTGCAGGAGTTTTAACCCACATAAGGCAGAACTGAAGTATGCGATCGTTCCTTGGGCAATTTAATTCAATGGATTGTACGATGTTTTCTCAAAATAAGCTGTGCGTGCCAGTACAACTATATAGAATTATTCTTTCTGACCAAGTTGTATTCAGAGGCGAATATAATAATACTCTCGTAATATGTTCTTCGCCCCGGGTCTTAGGTATTTATATGTAACTCTGCAAATGTCAGAATTGCCTGGCTGTCGCCGAGATCTGATAACAGGCAAAATAATAATGGACACGACGTAATATGTGAGCGATATTTTAGAAAAAAAAGTTATTACAGAACGAAAGATTCATGTAAGTGATATTGTTTCTTGTTTTGTTTCATGGAGTTCATGTTATTGTTTATTGGTAAAAATCCCGGAGCCGATTTTACCGTGAAATAAACCAATGGCAAGGCTGTGTTTTACTTAACGTTCTTCATATAAAATGGTACTAAAAACTGTCAAAATGCTATTTGGTAGCTGTGCAGTCCGGTTGAGATGGAAAACTGACAAAATCTTATCATAAGTGCATCCTTATCTATGAGTTATTTTCCTCATCTATAAGTGCATCTTTCTGATGTATATAGTATAATATCATACGAGTGAAGTTACATTTTATGTGTAAAATGCTTGACTGCACAGCAAGTACATAGCATTTTGATAGTTTTTAGCACCACTAAATATAAAAAATGTTACGTAACACAGCCTTACTATAACATTGGTCTATTTTAGGGCAGAGTCGGCCGCTCATTCTTATTAACCAAAATTTACAACAAACATGTGTGCACACATAATTATTTATTTTAATTTTCGACAATAATATAACAATTATAATTTTCAAAAACAAAATTTGTTTTGGCCAAATACGCCTTGTTTCAAATCATTCTGAATTGTTAAATCTAAAATTGGAAACAGTATGTGTATATGTGTATGTAAGCCAAGTAATAAAATTTAGTATGATCTATTGATCAGTTGAAAAACGTGCTGATTCTTTTTCTTCCTTGTAAATATTTATTAATTTTTTTAAGTAAAACTTCTCTAAACGCGACTAGGGTGTAAATCCTGACAAATGTAACGGAAGTACATTATGGCAGAGTCGAGTACCAATGATTCGTTATTCGCTTTCGATGATATCATTTTTATACGGGTCGATTGTGATTAGTCGTCGCGTATGTGAATAGAGATCTGTCGTTGTATGCGTATCGATATCAACAAAGAAATCGGCATAGATAAATAAACATTTTAAGTAACATCGTAGTACAAATGTTGATTTAATGAAAAATGCCTGAATCAGAGGAACATTTTAGCCTGTTCCTTAAAAATAATAAAACAAATAGAACATTTGTAGTGAACGTAAGTTTATTTATTAGAAATTATTTCTATATTATTCGTCGTTTCTATAAATCTTTGAAGTTATTAAAATGGAAAATATTTTTTATGCAACACAGATATTAAGCTGTTCGAAGAATAAGATTATATTGTCAGCTAAAAGTAAAAAAGATATAAGCCGTCAATGAATGTATGTTAATTTTAATTACATGAAGTTCTTCAAACACATTACATGATGAGTGAAGTTGCGAAAACAATATTTGTTTAGGCGTTGTTTAACATAATCCACTTTGTGAACGAACATTATAGAATTTATTAATCAGAAATTACTTTATTTCTGCAATGAAGGATCATTTCTAAATGCTAATTACAATGACAAACCGATCATGTCCTATTTAAAGTATGACTTTAATTACAGTATTGTTTTTAAATATTATACATATTTTAATGCTATTAAAAATATATAATTTATAATTATATAAATGTGTATAATGGTTCGCACTAATAAATGTGTGCATCGCGAGCGTTATCATATTACTAATAAACATATTCAAAATTGTTATATGATGTATTATTTTTACTAAAATGCCATCTGTACAGTAGCAAATAAGTTTCACTTCAATCGCGTGTGAATCTACAATATCTGTAAATTATTTTCATTTTTCAAATATCTGATTTGATTGTTACATTGGCAGTCTATCACTTCCACCCGTTTGCTAAAATGTAAATTAATGCACAAATGCAAGTTGATTTAGTGTTGACAGATGTTTGTTGTGCAGGTAATTCGTCATATCCTATATGGGCGACAGATATTTGATTTAATTAGCATAATGACAATATTTGTCGTCGGATATTAATAATGTATGATATGGTAACAACTGCTTTATAGAATTTCGTTCATCGTGTAGGCGCCAAACGCCCCAAACCCTTCCCACGTGTTCAAATAACTAATATTTATGAATACATTATAGGGAAAATAAAATAATCACTCGAGATAAAATTATAATTAATAAGTTAAGTTAATAATTAATCTATTAGAAATGAGATTGATTGTATATAATAGCATTTTTCTTTAATATACTATTATATTAGATAAATTACATTTTATCAATTCAACGCTTTGCTGCGGCTTTTATTAAAATCCACTTGATTGAAATTTGAATCTGATGAACAACCAACATTTCAATACTATTTTTAAATTATTTTAAGAATTTATATTAATCAAAAATAAATAATATTAACTTCCCGAAGGAGAAGTTATATTTTCATTAAAAAATCCGGCTCGCTAATTTTATGTTCTATCGAAGTTTTAAGCCATTCTGAATCGAATTGAATTCTGAGACCAAAATTGGAAAAAGTATGTGTGTATGTGTGTGAACAGAGTTTTTGCCGTGAATAGACGATTTGTCCAAAACGGCTGGACCGATTTCAAAAATTTAAAATCCATTCGATGTATCTGGATAAGGACTAGCGTTTCTGAGTTCTGTGCGGCGATCGGCCAGGCCGTTTCTTTGTAAATCGCAGAAAAGTGAAAAAATATTCGTCCACGTTTTAGTCCGCAATTCTCAATTCAAAAACCGTTTGATAGATATTGGTTGGGAATCGTGCGGGCCGGTTTCTTGTAATAAAGTTTAAAAAAAAAAAACAAATTCGACAATTTTTATGATTTTTTTT